TGACTATCATTGGCTTGGGCTGGGTCACATGGCCTTTCCTGAACCAATCACTGTGGCTAGGCAGTTGCTGTACTCTCGCTGGCCAGCCCAGGGCTATCTGCCCAGTTTCAGTGATGGGGGCATCAGTTCCATCTAAACCACATGGAGTAGGAGTGAGAATGATGTGGTTTCCTCAAAGGAAAATCATGGTGTCGACACAGAAGATGGGAGAATGGTTGCTGGGTAGGCAAAAATGATACTTGTCCGTTAGAGGTAAATATTACAACACCCATATTCAGACGAATAAATTGAGCCTAAAAGAAGTTAAATGGCTTGTACCAAGTTAAGCAGCTAAGACTGAGTAGAGATGCAATTTCAACCCAAGTCGTCCTCACTCTATATTCTACTTTGATTCCTAGGCTTGCCAAGGGACTGGAAGAAACTTGAGCTTGGTCAGGGAATAGAAGGGAACATGAAGGGGAATGATAAGAAAGAAAATATGGTCTTCTGGAATAATCAGTGAGAAAAGAACCACTGACTGGCTAAACCTTGGGTGGACTCAGGTGGCTGGGCAGAGGTGGTGGGAATTGAGGGGTCTGTAAGGAAGACATCTACACTGGAGAGACCTGTCCTCTCTGTCTTCTCCAAGGGGAGTTACTTGTCTGTTTGTCCAAAGCCTTTTCTAATCAGTCTAGATGTTCGGCAAACGCCGTTGTATTTTACCTAACACCACTGGGCTCAGAGGGCACTGCTGTGAACACACACATCCTGGTGTTTCACAGAATGACATCAGAGAGCAGGGGAGTCCTGCGAGCCCAGGAATGAATCCTCACCTTGGATGAGCTGCACAAATACTGCCTAACTAGATATTTCAGTTCTGCATCCACCTGGAACCTTGCCAGGGAGAGGGACCCTTTGAGCAAGACCACGAGATATATGAGAATTTGCCTGGAGGAAGCAGTTTTCCGCTGGTCTAGGATGGGGCTGCTTTCTAGAAAATTTGGTGTCATTTCTGTTATGTACACATATGGAAAGAGGAGAAATGCATACACACACACACTCACCCTCACACAAACACACACATTCTTTCTGGAGCACTTTATCTGGGGCCTCCAGAACATGATGTGGGGAAATATAGCCTCTGGTCAAGGCTCTGAGTAGGGGGTTCTGGGAGTTAAGGGGTTGTGGGGGACACAGGGCACACTAGAAGGGGTAGCTGAGGGAGGATGGCAGTGTGGGTCCAGAAAGGAAAGAATTGAGACCACAAATTTCACACCTCATGGTTCTGACTGATTCCCCCAAGAGGCAGAGATGGTGAGAGAACCCAGCATTAGACCCAAAGGGAAGGCACAGGTTGAATTTGAGCACAGCTACAGAAATATTGTCTGAGAGCTTTGCCTTTTCTCTGTGTTCCTAGCCCCACCCAGCTCTTCTGTGCTTCCAGTCTGAGCTCCTGGAGACTGAGGTGAAATGGGTGGAACATTTCCAAGTACAGAAGGTCTTAGACTTGGAACCTAAGGGAACCTCAGAGGCCTACTTGTCCTCACTTAGTGAAAAATGTTCTTGATTGGGCATCATTTGATGCTTCATCATTAGAAAGGTCCCTCCTGTATCACACCCAGATGTGCCTCCCAGTAACTGCCAAAGAATGGTACCACTTGTGGCCAGTTGGCACCATGCTGGACGAATTCTTGCCCCTTTCCAAGTTAGGGCTGGTCCTGGAAGTGTCAGCGACGTCATGTGGTTCCAGCGGAGTTGCTCCTTGTGCGCATGTGCATGGGCTTGACGGATGTCGGGGTGGCGAAATGTATTGTTGTGGACTCAGACAACCCAACTGGTGAGTAAATGGGTGGCTATATTTATCTCCATCCCCCAGGCCCAGGAGCTCCCGCTCTGTGCCAGAAATGGGAAAAACAAGCTTGCGGGGAGATGCTTCCCATTATTGTGACAAGTAATTAGGGGATGTGAGATGTTCAGAAATTGCTTTATTAGACAAATGCTGCTTATAAACCCCACGCAGCAAACATTCCCGGGGAGTTGCTTCTGGTCCCAGGACTCTGCTGCTGAAGGAGTCCCAGTGCCCCAGAGTCGAGGGGCTCTCCTGGTGCCTCCTCACAGTGGCCATGAGCAGATGGCCAGACAAGATGAGAGAGTAGTGACAAGTTTGCAGGGAAAGGTCTGGATTTGAGTCTGTGCTCTGCCCCTTCTCACTGCGTGATCTTAGGCAAGTCAGTTAGGCTGCAGTTTCCAGGTCGGTTGGTGGGAGTAGTGCTTTTTGCTCTCTGCTTCGGGAAGTGTCCCCAGCAGACCCTACTACTGCCAGGGATGAAGAGAAGTGGTGATGGCAGATCCCAGGCATTAGGGCCTGCCACTTGGAGCTGGGATAGTTGAAGAGGTGTTTCTGGTGGGAACAGAACGTTAATTGAGTGTCTACTATTGGGAGTGGAATGGCCCGAGTGACAGAGTTGAACAAAATTCCTCCCCAGGTTGCTCATCATCCACAGAGAAGACAGAGGATCCTAGGACAAGAGCAGTTTGAAATGAAAATTGTAGCAGTGGGAGCCAGGGTCTGCAAGCTTTTCTGTTATGACAAGGGCCAGAGAGTCAATGTTTTAGGTTTTGCGGGCCGTGCGGTCTCTCACCACTGCTCAACTCTGCTATTGTCGCACAAAAGGAGGCTGGACAATATGTAAAGGAAGGTGCGTGCCTGATTTCTCATGGAACTATTTGCGGACACTGAAATTTGAACTTCACATCGTTTTCACATGTCCTGAAATATTATTCTTCTTTTGACTTTTTCAAACACTTAAAAATGGCAAAACCATTCTTAGCTCGTGGTCCACAGAAAAGCAGGTGGGCAGCTGGATTTGGGCTGGAGTTTGCAGACTCCTGGCAAGGAGGAAAAAGCGATGGGGTCCACTAGGGGGACCAGGGAAGGCTTTGCTGGATCCGGGTCTCTAAGAATATGAAGGTTTCACTGGGACCACGTGCTGGGGAGGGGCGGGCCTTCTAGGCAGAGGGAAGTGCGGTTGCTCCTGCGATGAGGCAGCAGCAGGAGTGTCTGCCGGAGGACGGGGAGTCCGAAGGGATTGGATTATAGGTGCAAGGTAGGGAAGTGAGTGGGTGAGACTGGAGACTGCAAGGTTGGGGTGGGGTCGGGGAGCCATATAAGCCATGAAAAGGAGTCGAGGATATCCTGAGGCCCACGGGGCTCCTGTGGAAGTTTCTTGACTTTGCAGGAGGCCCCACCTGGTCATGGCAGGAGGCCCAGGGAGGGGTTGTCTCAGTAGATTGGGAGGAGAGCAGGCGAAAACCTGAATGGAGGCAATAGCAGAGGGGACAGGAGTAAGAATCCGGACTGGAGAGATTCCTGAGGGAGAATCCATAGGTAGAAACAGCCCAGATAAGGGGGTTAGGGAGGAGCGGAGGCCAGCTCCAAGGTCGCATCCCCAGTGGAGTGCCATTTATGGGCCGGCACCCCATGATGCGCCCTCAGTGTGTTGGCCAGTAGTGTCTAATGGTGCATCAAAGGAAGGGCAGGGAGGGGCTTCCCATTTGTTGGGGACCAGGAGCTTTGTAAACATCTTCTCCTTCAGTCCCACCACTGTCCTACAGAGGGAATCTATGGTCTCACTTTACAGATGAGAAAACCCAGGCCCAGAAAGGTTAAGCAGTTTGCCCCAGGCTCCACAGCTGGTAAGAGAAAGGGGAGCTCTGGTCTTGGGTCATCACTCTAAACATCCATCTCTTTCAACCTGGACACCCTGCTGGGGGCAGTTTGTGAGCATGGGGCACCCCAAGCCCAGACGGTCGTATGTATGGGTGCCTGGTCACACTGGAGGCTGTGGAGGAGAGCACAGCAAACCAGAGGGAGGTGGGAGGGGCTTGAACTGACAGAAGGCGGACAAACAGATCCTCTGCTGGGAGTCTGGGTTTGACTCTAGAGAAGGGATCGAGGGTGTGGCTCAGAGAGACCTCTGGCAGCCTGCTGAGCTGCCTCTGGCTGTGGTTTTCCTTTCTGAAGCCTGGCTGGGAGGATGTTGAGGGGGCCGCGGGAGCGGGTCTGGTCACTCTGCATACAAAGCTGTCCTCCCAGGAAAGCCACCTTCCCAAGCCCTGCTGGGGCACCTTTCCCAAGCTGTCAGTTCCATTCTGTGCCTCTACCACACTGAAGTGCCCAATTTTCAGTGGGTTGCCACTGTCAACAGACCACATCTGGCTCTCCTGCCTGGCAGGGAAGGCCAGACCAGCACAGGGCTCCAGTTTTCTCTTTAAAGTCCACTTTTTACTGTCCCCAACAGAACTTTTACTGCCCTGGCCCCAGTGAGGCATGGTAGCCCTCTGCTGAGATGGCCCCATCCCTCTGTAAACCCAGGGAGATGCGTTCCCCCAGGGGCAGCTGGGCCCCGACTCCCTCCAGGTCTTCCTCGGCCAGTCAGCTCTCCCCATGCTGTGATGGTGTGAGGTCCAAGTTACTCTCAGGGAGCGGTGCTGAGGGCTGACCAAGTGCTTGTTCCAGGTAAAAAGGGAGAAGAGGGGGTTTCAAAGGGAAGCCAAGGGCCTTGAGTCCTGGAGCAGAAGACCCCTGGATAGAGAAAAACACCAAATTGGAGGCAGAGATAATGGGGGCCACCAATTAACCACAGGGCCCTGGGGGCAGTGTGTTGGAGGAACCTTCAGATTTTAGGCAAAGGTCGTCATAGGTCTCCCTAGTCACCCCGCTCCCTGCAGGACTGTCATGGGCTCTGCTGTGAAGACATCCATCGTGGGATGTAGTCAAGGCCATGCATATGGGGTGGGGCTGGAAGGTCTTTGTGTCTTAGGGAGAGGGCCTCTTGGGAGTAGAGCTAGCTGGGTAAACCTGAAAATGTCTTGTTTTCCGTGTTATTTCAGTGGCCCCAGGAAGATCCCCGACCTGGAGGAGGTGGGTTCTTCTCCTAACACTTGTCACGGTAATCACAAGGCTGCAACCCTGAAGAGCTACTGAACATTCACAATGTGCTTTCAGGTACATTCCCTCATCCAGTCTTCATAGTAACCTGTTCAGTGAGGGTCGTCATCCCCATTCTACAGGTGGGGATGCTGAGGCTCAAGATCAAACCTGATCTGTTAGTCTCCTCGTAATGGCCACAACCCTGGCCTTCAAGATCTCTGGGGAAACCCCCTTCTGAGTTCTCTGTCCTAGCAGGAGGGCACTGTGTTTGCTAAGTGTTAACCCAGAGCATTTTAATTAGCTTTTTAGAAGCTTCTCACACAGCTAGTAAGTGACAAGCTGGGGAATCAAATCCTAGTTCTATGCTGCTTCTAACACCTGTATTGTTACTTAACTGCAGGTGTGTGTGCACCTGTGGCCTTGGTGAAATTATGTACTCCTTGAGTGTGGAGATTCTGTTTCCTGCTTTGCGTAAGGCCTGCTTCGTGCTGGGGACTAGCACATAGTACACGCTCAGTCAACATTTGGCTGATTATCTCTTCTCTCCTACCCCAAATTCGAGATGCTCTGCCCCTAAGTCATTTGCTTAGGAAGGAGCAATGGAATGCTGTTAGTTTCTCTCAGATCCTCTTCCGTTTGGGAGTTTTTGTGGGGCATTCCCATAGCTGACCTTGGGAACAGAGATCCAATTCTTTCAATTTGGAGCATTTATATCCTGATCACACCCATTCCCATGATGCATCTTCTCATGGTCTTGGACAGTTTAGATCTTGGCCTGGTGGGAGGACAGGGGAGAGATGGTGGCCTCCTGTGATCCCTTGGGCTCCAGAATCTTGGATGCCAATTTCTCACCTTTGGCCTGGTCCCTACTGTCCTCTGTGGGACACTTGCAGTTAAGGACTCAAACTCTCAGTCCCACTTTGGGGTTCAGGAAGAGCTGGTCCACCCTCCCCCATCCATCTCTGTTTTAGCTTTCTTCCTCCTAATGGTTTGCCACCTTGGCAGGAAGGGTGCTGCTGGGAGCGAGGGAGGCCCCTCTTGCAAGTTCTCTCTCCTAGCAAGAGGGCACTGTGTTCGCTAATAGGTGTTAAATGGGAGCATCAAATTTTAATCAGTTCCTTAATGGAGTCTGGGGACCTGGGGGAGTTCTCGAGTCCTGCATTATGCCGCTTGCTGGAGCCAAGCTGGACGTGGTGAGTGGGAAGGTGGGATGGGCAGCTGCTGTCACAGCCAGAGCTACTAGAAGGTGGGGTAGGGCTGGCCCTGTTGACAGTCACTTTCAGCCAGGATGGCACAGCTCAGCTAGTGTCACCACTGTGACTACTCTTGGTGACAATCCACTGATGGCTTCCTCTTGGTAGGAAGCAGGTCTAGCAACAAATGTGGAAATGGGAGATCACTGGCATCAGAAGACCCTGGTTTATATGCTGAGATTCTCAAGTTGAGCGAATGTGGACAGCTTCTTTGGTGTGGTAGCTCATTATAATAATGGCCCTCAATGAATAATGGCCCTCCCTGTGTCCCTTTTGCAATGGGATGTTGCCACTCCTCCCATTAAGAGGCAGAGTACATTTCTCCATCTCCTTTACCCTGAGTTGGCCTGTGGCTTATTTTGACTAACAGAAGATGGTGGAAGTGTCATTAGGTGAATTCTGGAGCTGCTTTCCACTTGCTTGGAATACTGCCCTGAGACTCCCATGAAAGGGAGCCTTTCTATTCTAGTGGAGGGTGAGAACCCCTGTAGAGGAGAACCAGGGTGGCTTGCTCATGGCCAGCACCATCTGCCAGACCTGTGAGCAAGGTGACCTTCCAGCTCCAGGTGAGCTGTCAGCTGGCTGCAGCGTATGAGTGACCCTAGGGAAGACCTGCAGAAGGACCACCCAGATTGTAAGAAATAAAAAATCGTTGTTTCAAGGCACTGAGTTTTGGGGTGCTTTGTTGCTTATTAATGGATAAGTGAACTGCTGGCTTCTCTAAGCCTTGGATTCTGAGATTTAGCACAGGAGCACCTTGTTGTTGGGAGGGGCATCAGTGATAGGTGCCCTGGACTGTGCCTGGGACATAGTAGGTCTGCCTGGGGAGAGAATTACTGTTAGTGAGACTGGAAAGGAGAGTGAGGCTGGTTAGGAAGGGCCTTGATTGCCACAGTGAGGAGATGTGATAGCGGTGGTAGTGGGACGAGAGGAGAGGAATGAAGTGCAAGAAATTCCTGAGACGAAACAATGGGACTTGATGAATGACTGGTACGAGCAGGAAGGGTGAGTCAGAGATGCCTCGGAGGTTGCCAGCCTGGGTAAGTGGGTAAACAACGCTGCTGAGGAAAGTGGGAGGAAGAGCAGGTCTGGGGGGGAAGATGAACAAGTTCAGCTTTGCTCAGTTGGCTGTGAGAAGGAGATACCTGGATGCAGGTGAGTATATGGGTCTGAGCTCAGGAGAGTGGCCAGGGACGGGGCTGGAGGTGTGGGACTCACTGGGGAGCAGGAGGCCCTTGAAACCTGGAGGATGACTGTCTTAGTCGCTTTGGGCTGCTGTAACAGAACATCATAGACTGGGTGGCTTAGAAACAACAGAAACTTATTTCTTCCAGTTCGGAGGATGGAAGTCAGAGATCAGGGTGCTAGCGCGGTGAGGTTCTGTGTCTGGTGAAGACCTGCTTCCCGCTCCATAAGCTGCCATCTTCTCTCTGTGTCTGCACCTGGTGGAAGGGGTGAGGAATCTCCCTGGCGTCCCTTGCGTGAGGGCACTAAAGGCATTCAGGAGGGTTCCACTCTGATGACCTAATTACCTCTCAAAGGCTCCGCATCCTAATACCATCACCATGGGTGTTAGAGTTTCATCATATGAATTTTGGGGTGGTCACAAGCATTCAGACCATACCAGTGACTCAAAGGGCTGGGTTAGGGACACAAGGCTGGGACATCCCAGGTTTCTCCAGGGATTAAAGTGAAGTATAGCTAAAGTAACAGCTTGGATAGCCTACCAGCCTACTGAAGATTTAGTCTGCAGGGGTCAGTCTCTCCGGAAACCCTTTGTTTCAGGAGAAAATGTGAACCATCAAGAGGGCCTCACAGATGAGTGGATTCCAGACTTCCACAGTGCTCCAAGGGCAGCTAATTTCCAATCGCAATCTGTGATTTGATTTAATTTTAAAAAGCCCATCTATAAAACTCAACAAGGAGATGCTAACTGTAGTGGCCTCCCGGCTGAAGATTAATGGGTGATTTTTTCCCCCCTTCTTTCTATTTTTTTGGACATCCCAAATCTTCTGTAATGAGCATTCAGTACTTTTTCTTGGCACGCAATATTTTTAAAAGGACACACACACAAAAACCAAATTACAAAAACAAATCAAAACAAGAAGATTTTAAGGCTGGAGAATAGAACTTTACTTCCAGGAAAAGGGGGGCCCCAGATATGGTTCTGCTCTCAAACACCAGGACCCCACAAAAGAGCAAAGCCCAAGGAGGACAGAAAGGGGAAATGGTCACTCTCCCTGGAGCTGCAGAGACAGATCCAACTTTACAGGTCTGAAAATCTGTGAACAGTTGAGGAAAGATGGTGGTGGCAGCTGGGAAGGGGAGGGTGAAGTAACCTGGCCTTGACGGCCTTTTGGGAAAGTTGGTGTTTTAGGTGCTTAGCTTTGAGTTGGTCATAGTCGGCCTGACCATGTTGGGAGCCCTTGGGTGGCAGAAGAACATATGTCCAGGTGGGCCAGGCCACAGGGTTGGGTTCTCCAGCCAAGGAGAGTGGAACAGTCCAAGTCGCTGAGTCCTGAGGGTAGGCGTGGAGGTATGATGTCTCATCTGCAAGTCATCACTTCTGAGAGCACCGGGCAGTCAGATGAAGGTCCAAAGCTTTGCTTAGGGAGTCCTGAAATGCAAGCAGATGCAAGGAGGCTCGCCTGGGTCCTGGGCAGGGTAGGGAGGGGAGAAAGGCTTGGTGAGTAGCAATCAATAGCCAGCTGACCCAAGGGGGCCTGGCAATGGTACCCAGGCTGTAGAGAGGGAGGCTGAAGCTTAATGTTTCTTCTCAAGTGCACCCCGCCCCTGGCTTACCCTGGCCCCCTGACTTTGGCTAGCTTGGGCAGGCTGCTTTCATCCTCTACTTGCTATTGGAGGAAGGGCTTCTGGTATCTCCCAGCCCTGGATCTCCACACTCAAGGTAGGTTGGGAGTAAGTGTGCCGGCAGCTGGGTAGAATTGCACAGTTGGGCTGGTGAGAGGAGAATTCAACCAGGGGGAAGGAAACTTTGAATATAAACCCTGTTGGTTTGCATCCCCATGGCAGAGGGGCTATCTCAAAAGAGAAAATCCACTCATCTCATTGCTCAGAAAGGTCCTCTTGATTTTTTGGGGAGGGGGGATAAGCATGTGAGTTTGGGGAGGATAAAGTGAGACACAGGAGGTGAAATAACTTGCTATAAAGCAAATGGCTGTGTGAGAGTGGGGTATTAGTGTGGTTATCCCTGCAAGGGTGGGGAGCCCTTCCTGTTGAATGCCTGTCTGTCCTCCTAGACTGTCATGTTCGTGGATGTTGTGTTCACGGCTGTAATAACTGCTAAGCTTTGTTAACCACTTAATTGATGTCAGGCTCCTACTAAGCACTTTGCAAATGCCATCTTAACCCTGTATGACCCTACTATCCCCAGTTTACAGACGAGGAGTCAGAGGCCCAAGAGTTACCTTGGCATACAGTGCACGTCCCGTAAGTTCCAGAGGCCGATGCAGGTGGTCTAGTCCAGAGCCTGTACTCTTAACCTCTGTCCTTTAAGCCAAATCCCCAGCATGCTGCACACAGTAGGCACTCATGAAATATTTGTTGCGCTGAGTTAAATCAAATCAGATTGCTATTCCCAGGAAAGCCAAAGATCATAAATTCTTTGGAACCCGAATCTCTTTAAACACCATTTTTAGAATCTCAGTTACTGGGAAGAAAACAAAATAGGAGGGTGGGTAGGTCTTCAAGAAGGATCTCACTCTTCCCTGTTTGCAGCTGGTGTGGTTTGCTGCCCTCCGATGCTGCCCCTGCCTGGTAGATAGCCCTTCCTCCCATCTTGCCCTCTTGGGGGAGAGAGGAGGATGGAGCGCCCACCGTGGCACACAGGAGCAGGGGCAGAGCAAAGATCAGTGCTCTCCAAGCTGCTGGAGCCGGTGAGGCGGAGGCCAGACGAGCTGGAGCTGAATACAATTTTTGTCAGAGTTCCCTTCCCGTCTGTGAATGCAAATCCTGAATTACAAGCCATCCGGATGACAAGCTGACATTTTAGCTCCAAACATTCTCCTATAATTAGTAGAATCTAATGCAATACAGGGAATGGCTCCATTTTACACACACGTTATCGTAATGCCTTTAAATAAGATAATTGATTATGCCTCTGCATAAGAAAGTGAAATATTCGGTGTAATTAAAACCAGCATTCCGATCCTGGCTCTCTGACAGGTGATCCACGTGTCACTTTATAAACCCTCAAAGTAGTGTTCACGCCCACATTCCAGTTTTCAAAGTTTGTTGTAAAAAAACTTTGGAGAATTTTTTTTCTTCTTCTCATGGTTTTCAGCTTTGGGTCTAGAAATCTGAGTGAAGGTAGCTACTGACTTTTTGGGTATTTCTGTATTCCTCCTCAGCTCCCTGACACAATCACAAACTGTCTCATGTTTCCCTGTAGATCTTCATTTTATAGATGGGGAAATTGAGGCACAGGGAAGCGACAGCACTTCTGTGGCTGAGTCAGGCTTGGAATTCAAAATCTGTTTTACAGCCCTTGAGATTAGATTTTAATTTGAGTTGTTTTGCTAAAAGTGGGAAAAAGTATGGTTCAGTGGACAGAATGTAAGGCTGGGATCAGGAAGTCTGAATTCCAGTCTTGGCTTTGCAATCAGTTAACTTCTCTGAGCATTCATTTCTCCACTTACTTCATTGATTGGCTGCGGAAAAGTTAGATCAATTTAGTAAAGTGAGAGATCTTAATACAATGGCAATCTAATAGGTAGGCTCCTGGGTCGTCCGGGGTGGGTGTGGGGAGATTAGTTGTTTGAGTAAAGAAAAGTCAGATATGGCTGTAGAAATCTCAGTGACCCTGAGTTCTAGGAAGTCCCCAATACTGCCCCATTCCTCTTGAGCCAACCTCCGTCTCCTGGAAGTTGAGTGGTGGGAATGAGACAGGAGTGGGCGATACTAGTAGGAAGGCCAGTTGAGAATTGTGTGGGTCACTATCTGCCTTTCTGATACCTGAAGATGCTGCTGCAGATATCTCAAGTGGCCTTGACACTGTCCTACATTAGTCCCACCCTCTCAGGAAGTCTCCAAAGGTTAATTTGTGACATACTTTTGTGGGACAGCTGGTGGGTGTTGGGTGAGTACTCTGGGGCCAGGAAACCAAGCTACTTCAATTGGTTTCTCTTAAGCGGGCAAACTAGTTACTTCATCTTTCTTCTCGTGGACTCCATACTTTCACCCCAATAATCATACTAACCAAAGCCTAGCTCCTTACAGAGATATCAAGACTACTACATTTGTGCAGGAAAAACTCTTCCCAGGATTGTCCTGTTCACCCTTGTATTAGTTTCCTATTGCTGCTGAACAAATTACCACACACTCAGTGTCTCAATACAACACACATGTATCATTTACTGGAGGTCAGAAGTCTGAAGTGGATCTCGCTGAGCTAAAATCACAGTGTTGGCAGGGTGGCATTCCTTCTGGAGGCTCTAGGGGAGAATCCATTTCCCTGCCTTTCCAGCTTCCAGAGGCTGCCTGCGTTCTTTGGCTCACGGTCTCTTCCTCCATCTTCAGAGCCAGCAAAGGCCAGTGAAGTCTTTCTAACTGTGCCATATCTCTGATTCTGACTCTTCTGTCCCCCTCTTCCCCATTTCAGGACCCTTTTGATTACACTGAGCCTTCCAGGATCATCCAGGGAAACGTCCCCATCTCAAGATCCTTAACTCAATCACATCTGCAAGGTCCATTTAGCCACGTAAAGTAACGTAATCACATGGTCCAGGGAATAGGATGTGGGCATGTTTTTTGGGAGCCATTATTCTGCCTACCACATGATCTAGCCCCAAGGATAATTGTATTAGTTATCTATTGCTTCTTAATAAATTACCTCTAAATTTTGTGGCCTGAACAATGAGCATTTACTGCCTCACAGTTTCTATTTGTAAGGAATCTGGGTATCCCTGGCTGGGGGTCTCTCACAAGGCTCTAATCAAGGTCAGCTGGAGCTATAGTCAGCTCAAAGCTTGATGGGGGTGGATTCACTTCCAAGTTCACTCACATGGCTGTTGGCAGCCCTCAGGTTGTCACTGGCTGTTGACTGGAAACATCAGTTCTTTGCCATATCGGCCTCTCCATAGGGTAGCTCACAATATGGCAGCTGAATTCCTTCAGAGTGAGCGAGTGTGAGAGGAAAAGAGAGCACCCAAGTGGAAGCCATAGTCTTTTTATAACCTAATATTGGAAGTGACATCTCATTGCTTTTTGCCATATCCTATTTGTTAGAAATGAGTCAATAAATCCAGCCCCTGCTCAAGAAGAGCAGATTACACAAGAGTGTAATCAAGAAGGGAGGATCAAATCCAGGGCCATCTTAGAGGTGGCTTACTCCAGCAATCACACATACCACTTCCCTTAGGGAAGGCTGATCCATAATGATCAGAGATTAGGCTTCCAAAATTTAAGGCAGGAGAAATCAGACTTTAGGGACCTCATCCTAATACGTAGGAAAGTGAGATATGGAGAGGGTGGGTGGGTAGGTGAGTGGCTATAAAACTTTCTTCCATCTCGGTCAGTGGTTCTCTAACTTAGGAGGCATATTAGAATTATCTGGAAAGCAAGAAAAATATCAAAGCCTGGGCTCCAACTGTGTAGATTCTTAGTTAGTTGGACTGAAGTAGAATCCATGCGTATACATTTTTTAGAACTCCTGTAATTCTGGTTTGTATCAGGGTTGAGAAAGTTTGATCTAAAGAGTTTGCTGATATCTACAAGAGGGGATTTGGAGACCCCATGGAACTCTTTGAAGTCTGGATCTTCCAAATGATGATAATGATGATGAGGATGAAGACAATAATAAGAAGAATTATTGTTTACGTGAGTACTTAATACTTGGCAGGCACTGTGTTACTTATCTCCTGAGCCTCAGTTTCCTTATCTAAAAAATGAAGAAAGCAGCATCAATCCAACAGGGGAATTGTGAAGTCTCAATGATTTAAGTATGCAAAATGTTCACAGCAACGCTTGGCACCTGGTCAATGCTTGCTTCACGTCAGCTCCTTCCTGTCCTGGCCATCCTCGTACTCCTTTTGGGGAGCCAAGATATCATGAAGAAGGAATTCCCTGCCCCACTGCCCTAGACTGTTGGAACTGCTGGACAAGGCTGAGTGAACTCAGAGGCACCTACAAAGGACATTGTGTAAGTGACCATAGGCCTGATGGGCTGCCCAGGAGCCCATGATGCAGCCCTGGCCTGGGGTGAGGCCAGCTGCGTGGTGCACCCAGGTCCTCTGTTAAATGGCTTGGACCAGCAGCCTGAGCCAAGAGCAGTGATTCTGGCCTATTTTTACCTCCAAGTGGCAGAGCTGGATCTATTCCTCTTCTTAGAGGAACAGTCTCTGCTGAATACAGCTTACCTCTAAGGCCCCAGTCCACTTCTTGTCACTGATGACTGAGCTCTGTTGATAATTATTCCCAACCTTGCCAGACCTCTTAGGCTTCTCCAGAGCTACCTGGTAGTCTGGCCTGGGGCTAAGGTGGTTGTGATTCTTCCTGGGCAGGATTTTGGCCTCCCCTGCTTAGGCCATCACTGGGTTCTTCTGGTGTGCTTGTACTTGTCTCCTCTCATCATCCTAAATAGGAAAGTAGAAAGGGATGGTGACCTAAGCCATCTTCTCTGTTCTTCCATTATTAGGGAAACTGAGGCAGAGTAGAGGGCCTTATCTGCTTACTGATGGCATCAGCTTGACTACATGTGAAGTTCAGAGCCTCCTAGAAGCTTCAACCCAGTGAAGATACTCATGAACTGACTGTTTTGTGTGTTCTTTTCTGCCAGAAGCCAAGATCCTAGGGACTGGTGACAAGGATACAAGAAGTTATGTGGTTCTAGTTTCAAAGGGGCTAAGTGCAAGATTCAAAATGGTTTTTCTATATTGAAATTAGGGTGAGAAAGACTACCCTTTAAATCCTGGTTTTGCCACTATCTTGCTGTGTTACTTAAGGCAAGTTTGTTCACTTAACTTATCTCAGCCTTGGTTTTCTTATCTGTGACATGGGTGTATCAGTCAGCACAGGCTCATGCTGCAGTAACAAACAATCCCCAAATCTCAGTTGCTTAACACAGCAAAGGTTTGTTTTGTATTCACTTTTCATGCCCACCTTGGGTCTACTAAAGGCTCTGCTACATGTTGTCTTTGTTCTAGGACAGAGACTGACAAAAATAGTTATCGTCAGAGACATTGCCAATCCTGTGGCAGCTGGACAGGGAGAGTGGGGACAGATAATGGTACCTTGGTTCTTGCAGCTTCCACCTGGAAGTAACACACATCATTCTGCTTACATTTCATTGGTCAGAGCAAGTCCCACGGCGGCATCTAACTCCAAGGATTCAGGGAAGTGCAGTCTTACCACGTGCCCAGAAAGGAGGAGATCTGGAAATGTTTGGTGAACAGCACTACTGGCTCCCACATTGAGTAATCTTATATCAACTTCCCTGTGGGGTTACTGTAAAGATTAAAGGAGATGATGGATGAAAAATCACTTTGCAAATAATAGACACAGGTAAGATGTTGTTCAAGTAACATTTAGGGGGCAGCCTTGTGTGCCAAATGCCATGCTAGATATTTTGTAACAGCAGCACACCCCTAGACAGAATTCTGGAAGGGAGTGGCTCACCTGGTTTTGCTCCTTCTTGGCACTGGGATCTTGACTGTAATTGTCAGGGAGGGTCTGCTAGCCCAGGCACGTGCGTGGAACAACAGCTCTTCGCTAACTGGAGACTTCTGGGCACTGTCCACAGTACTTCTTGGAAGGGGTCACTCTTATGACAGTTGACCGGTGATCCCCACAAGCGGAGACAATAGGGGTTGTCCTGATGTTGGTCTCTGCGTCCTCCTCACTAAGGAGCAGGTCAGGACTCTCAGCCCAGTGGATTTGAGACTGGCTGTGGTCTGGTTTGGATTTTGGTCCAAGAGCCCCTCTGTGTTCTTGTCGCCAGTGGTCCACTCTGTGCTGAGATGCCTGTTTCTTGTGTTGAGGTCCTTGGAGTGGGAAGTCTTTGGTAATCTGGGGAGGGTCCTGTGACATTACAGTTCCCTGTCCCCAACAGTGGCTTCTCTGGGAGGAACAAAAGCCCTTTGGGATCAGCAATGTGTTGTTGGTGGCTGTACTTCTGTGTTCTCTGACCATTGGAATTTGGGGTTGTAAGAACTCTTCTTCTTTTGATGGGAAGAGTGCCTGCTTGAAATTCAAACTAAAAAGAGATCGCTCTGTCCTTAACATTCTGTGTGGGCCAGTAGACACGCCCCTGGCAACAGTAGCTCAGAACTTAGTCACTCCTGTGCTCAATATACACTTGCAAATGCATTCTCTCATTATCATTTCACAGGGTTAGTCTACTAATTGTCCTGTGAAATAGGTAACATGCTCACCCTCACTTTACAGAAGAGACTGAGGCTCAAGTAACTTATTTGCCTTGTCCAAGGTCCCACAAGTAGTAAGTGACCTAGATTGAAATACAGATCCTCAGATTCCAAACCCATTGCCCCTTTCACTTGACAGTTCTCCTTCATAGTGCTATATTTGCCTTTTTGTGATGATGGAAGATCCTGACTATCAGAGTTTTGGAGCTAGAGGGGATCTAAGAGGTGATCCAGCCCAACTCCCGTATTTTATAGAGGAGGAAACTTGAGGCCCACAGGTGGCTGCCCCATGGCTCACATTGTGCTCTCCATCTCACTCCTCTGCTGTTTCTACCATCTGCTAACCATGATACTGGGGTTTTTTTTTGGTTTTGTTTTGTTTTTGCTTTATTTCTGTCCATTCCCTGCCCCCTTTCTATAATATCTCATCCTCATTTTGTAACACCACCTCCTAGAAGCCTCACTGATCATCTTTCCTCCTCCAGATTAGGTTTGGTGCCTACTCAGTGCAATGTACCTTCCAGATTGTAGATGTACCCATTGTATTATAACTGCTAGTTTGCTGATGGGTGACAAGGGACCTCCTCGTCCACCCATCACTTTGAGGGCAGAAGTTGTGTTTGTTCTACTTGTTACTCTATACTTGGGGCTGGCATTTAGCTGGTGCTCAGAAAATGTTCATAGATTGAAGGAAAGAAGAAAAGAAGGAAGGAAGCAAAGAAGGAAGTAAGGATGGAAGGAAAGATGGAAGCATGGAAGGAAGGATAGAAGGATGGAAGGAAGGAAGGACGGAACGATGGAAGGATGGAAGGAAGGACGGAAGGAAGGACGGAAGGATGGAAGGAAGGATGGAAGGAAAGATGGAAGGATGGAAGGAAGGAAGGATGGAAGGAGGAGTGGAAAGATGGAAGGAAGGATGGAAAGATGGAAGGAAGGAAGGATGGGAGGATGGAAGGAAGGATGGAAGGAAGGACAGAAGGATGGAAGGAAGTATGGAAGGAAGGATGGAAGGATGGATGGAAGAAAGGATGGAAAGATGGAAGGAAAGATGGAAGGAAGGATGGAAGGAAGGATGGAAGGAAGGATGGAAGGATGGAAGGAAGGAAGGACGGAGGTATGGAAGGAAGGATGGAAGGGTGGAAAGGTAGAAGGAAGGAAGGAAGGAAAGAAGGAAGGAAGGAAGGAAAAGGAAGGAAGGAAAGAAGGAAGGAAGGAAGGAAGATGAAAGGAAGGAAGATGAAAAGAAGGAAGGAAGGATGGAAGGAGGCTGCCCGGGTGAGCCTTTCAGGCCACTGTGCAGTGTGAGCCCTCTCTTGTGGGCTGGAGGGGTACCTTCTGAGGAGCTCTCCCCTGTTGAGTCTCCCAAGGGTCAGGGAGCTGGAAGGTCTTTCTGCTGCTTTTGTGGGGCCTGCCTCCTGCCTTCTGAGCTGCTCCTACTCTCACTAGCAGCCCCCGGAAGGAGATGAGCGAGGGGGAGAGAAAGAGAGATTGAAGGGGAGAGAGTGGAGGAGGGTGCCCTGCTCCAAGACAGAGGAACAGCACTTAAAAAATGTCTCTTAGAATCCCTGAAAGAATAAGCTGTAAAAACAACCACACGCGCTCTGCTGGGTGACGCAAGTCAAAGAGAAATGCGATGCAATTAGTCACTGGTTCTGAGTAGGAGGCTGGGAGAATGGTGAAGGGCTGGGGGGCGGTGGCAGCCTCCCTCACAAGCTCTGCATCCTGCGCTCTGAGCGGCCTCCACAGCCCTGGGGAAATGTTATTTCTTTCCTTTACCCCCTGTGCAGGCCAGAGCCCCTCCTTGCTTCTCTTTGTCTCCCACGAGGTGGCATTTTCCTCCCTTGCCAGCACAGTCTTAGGTCTAGAATTAAGGAGTAGCCCAGAGTCTATAAGTGAGGGAGGAGCCTGGGAGACCAGGGGTCATGGGAATTGAAAGTGGGGAAATATTTGGCCCTGAGCCCACCCTGTGGACTCCAGCTCCCCACTTTCCTGCCCACTCTGGTCCAGAGGGAAATGTTTCCCCTGTCAGGACTTCAAGGGGGTAATTCACTCACTCCCTCACCTACCAAACATTAAGCACCCACGATGTGCCAGCCCCTGCCTTCATGGAGCTCACAGTTTAAGTCAACAGGATGGACAAGTCAACAGGCAAATAGGATGCTGAGTGACAAGAAAAGTGCTGGTTGTTTCCCATTTTCTTCCATCCAAGAGGTAGCCTAGCTGCTCCACATGGGTCCGAGGGGAGGCCCCAGTGAGCATCCCTCACCAGGCCCTCCTGGCTTTCCTGGGTATGGCAGCAGTCTATAGAGATCAGAAGATCTGGGTTCTACATGAAGCTCCACACTGCAGGGACTTTTGGGCTCCCTGGCAAGAGAGAGAGATTCAGGAAGGAAGGATCCTGAGGGTGCTGTCAGGGGCTGAGGTCATCCTGTCTCTTAAGCAGAGCTATTCACAGAGTGGTCCCTGGACCCGCAGCGTCAGCATCTCCTGCAAACTTATTAGAAATACAAAGCCATGGGCCCCACCCAGATCTGCTGAATCAAATTCTCGGGGATTGGGGCCCAGAAATCTGTATTTTAACAAGAATCCAGGTGGTTTCATTTCGCATGAAAGTTTGAGCTGCATTGTTTAAACGACTGGGTGAAATTGGTTCAAATCCCAAGTATCTTCCTGTGGGAAGGCGGAGCCCAGTCTAGCTCCCTCTCTTGGTTTTTGTAAATTTCAAAGGCTTTCCTAGTCACCAATGGCTCTGATTTGGGGGGCTTGGTAATTCTTGTGATCTTTTTGGTGCCCTGGACCTTTATCTTGACCTTGGTTACAACCCAGATATGGGACACAAGCTCTTTTTGATCTACCTTTTTGCACTTTCACACCTCCCAAATACAGCTCACATGAGGTCAATGTGCATAATAGATTTTCCCTTGGGATTTGAGGGTGCATCAAGGAGAGGAGCATCACAGAACTGCAGACAGATCATTTAAAGTTGAATATTTCCCTTTCTTGCCCCTCAGCCGTTTCTAACAACTCAAGCCCCCAGTGATGTCCCTAGGCCTTCTCTCTCCTTCCTTCCTTTTCTCTGCTCTATATCTGATTTTCTATGCATTTAATTTGCCATGGAGCTTAACTCTCCCCTTGTTGGTTCCTTCTAAACCAGTGTTCCAGGATCCCACCTTGCACCCCGCAAGAAACTCTGATATTTTCACAAACAAACATAGTTCCTTCCCTAAGAGAATCTCCGGTGCCATCTGGTAAAATAGTCATTTTCCTTATCCCTCTACATTAGCAACTGGGCTTCTTACCTATTCCTAAGGCGGCCCCTACAACCGTGGCCTTGACAAGCGCCTCCTCCTCTAGGCTGAAGCGTTGTGGTCTGCCCTTTCCACCCCAGCATTACCCCGACCTGGGAAACTTCTCCTTGGCCTTGTGACTGACTTCATTCTTAAGTGGATGCTTCACCCCATTAAACAAATTCTTTAACAATCTTTCCTTCCCTAGCTTGTCCTCTTTTATTGTTGTATTTCTCTCAAAGACCTTTGTTCATTCAGCGAAGTCTTCTTTCTTCTTCTCCATCCCTCAGTCCCTAAATGCTGCCTTCTCCTGCCAGCTCTAACCATTCCTTCCTAGCTGGCTTGTGGAAGCCAGGCCATGAGCACTGCCTCAGTGGGGGTTCTTATTCCCCTCAGGCTTGTACCTATTTTCCAAACTATTGATTCTACTGATGTTATTTAAGCTTTCAGGCAAAAAATGAAGGCAAACAATGCTGCTTCATCATACTCACCCCAAAATAAGCTTGTAATGAGGCTCTCTCTCCAATGGAAGGAGAACAGGTATTTCACCAGAGTGGAGACTCTATCCTCTGTGAATATGTAGGAGCACAGTCAACTTCTGTAGATGGATGGATGTCTAATGCTTTTTCTTATCCTCACCCTCTTGACCTGTCAATCATCTGCAAGACTGTCAACCTTGTGCTCTCCTTTCACTCTCTCTTCAGGCTGGTCCTGGTGTTGGTTCCTTCCGAGGATCTTCTCCTTCTATTTTGGGCATTCCTTTGAGTGTTCCTGTCATATAACATGGGCACCTCCACTCCCCTCCCTATTTCTCTTTGCCAGGAGTAGGCCCCAAGTCCAGAACCAAAATGTCGAGGATCAGGGAGGCAGAATGAAGGGCGTGGAGGGCTGAGCCCTGGCCATGCATCGTGTCATCTGGAAAAACCAAGCATTGGCTGCTTCTCAAGAGCAGGTCCTTCAGAGCACGTCAACTGGCAGACAGAGATGAGAGTGGGCTCTTTTGCACAAATAAGCAAGGCTCCTCCTCCCTATGACCTCTCCTTGGTCAGGAGATGCCACATCCTTGAAGTGACAACAATCCTTTCCTTCGCTCACATTTTCCTGGTGTGGAGACCAAGAGGGCCTGATCATTTGCAAACACTTCTTTCCAGTTGATAACAGACATTGGACCCGTGAGGATCTTCAGATTCATGAGGAAGAGGAGGAGCCTCACCTGGGAAACATCTGCCAGGTGATCCTTTCCTCCCAGGTGAGTGTCAGTGATTGGGCCTCTTTATTGTTCTCCTAGGAACAAGGCCCAGCAGACTGGGCAGGCCCACCAACTGGGAAAGCCAAAGCCGTCAGTCTCCACCTCGCATCTGTTGAAGTAACGGCACGTCTGGCCACCATGGGAGCATTTTTCTCTGCTGCTTCTGCCCCTGCTGCCTGTACCTTTTATCCATGGGGCCAAACCCTGGGGCGGATTTTCTGTCAGTGCGGGGACATGGAGGCTAGAGTTAGCACAGGTCCTTCTCTCCTTGGCAGGCCTTAAGGAGTTGAATGTGAGGGTGGGGAGAGGGAAGCCAGACACTCACAGATGCAAGGGACCCAGATCCCACTGTCCAGAGACCACCGTGCCAGTGGCAGCAGCTGAGATGCTGTCCCTCTGGGATGGAATCTTGGGCCGAAATGAATTGAGATAGAAGAGTAAGTCAGGCCCTGCTCCATGACCTCTGGGACACTGTGATCCAAGCATTAGCGCTGAGATGCAGAGGCCTGGGGTGGGAAGGCAGCAGATGTTTCCTCAGCACCGTAGGAAAGCCTTGACTGTAGGGACCTCAGGGCCTGGGGTGAGGTTGCCTCTCCCTCTGTGATCCTAGGCCTCTCATGGTGCCCAGCACATAATAGGCATTTAGTAAACATTGAATGGATGAAAGAAGTGGCTTGGCTTGAGGAGAATGTCAGGGAGGAGTTGATGAAGGTACCTACGACCCTCAGGCAGGGGCTTCCCTTCCTCCTGTGTTCTGGGTGTGAGGCCCAACAGTCTCTTGACCGCTCAGTCTCCAGCTTCCACATCTGCAAAGTAGTTAGGGTATCAATTTCCTGGGCTTGCTGTGGGGACTCAGGGAGATGGCTGGTGTGCAGTGTGGGACACTCCAAAGCTCCCATCAGAGGGCAGCATGGTATAGTGAAAAAAGCCCCGAATTTGGGGCAGATAGCCCTGGGTCCAAATTCCAATTCTCCCACTTCCCTTCCTAGCTGTGTGATCTTAGGCAAGTTGCTTAATCTCTCTGAGCCTCTGTTTTCATATCTGATAAGAGCACCCATTTGTGTTAGTTTCTTATTGCTGCTGCAACAAATTACCACAAACTTAGTGGCTTAAAACAATACAGACTTATTATCTTATATTTTCAGAGGTCAGAAATCCAAAATGGGTCTCACCAGATTAAAATCCAGGTGTCAGCAGGCTGGCTTCCCTCTTGAAGGCTCCAGGGGAGAGTGCTTCCTTGCCTTTTCCTTACCCTCATTCCTTGGCTCGTGACCCCTTCCATCCTCCAAATCAGCGATGGCTGGTTGTCCTTCTCACATGGTGTCACTCGACACTCACTCTTCTTCCTCTCTCTGCCCCTTTGAAGGACCTTGGTGATTACACTGGGTCCACCCAGATAATCCAGGATAATTTCCCTATTTTAAGGTCAGCTAATTAGCAACCTTAATTTCCCCTTTCATAGAACATAATGAATTCAGAGGTTCTGGGGATCAAGACACAAACATCTCTTGGGCCATTATTCTGCCTGCCACACAGAATATTGTCGTGAAGAATAAATGAGACCATACGTGTAACCTAGACCTGTGCTGACAGTTTAGCACATTGTGGCTGCTCCCATTATTATTATTATCATTATTATTATATTCTCGTTTTAGTCCCCACTCCCTCCTTGCTCTGCAGAAGGAAGGCAGTGGGGACCTAAGCATGCCCCTCTGTGAGGACCACCAGGTGTCCCTGGGCAGATGAAGCCTCAGGAGGTCCCTACGTGTCTTGCCCCTGACTTCCTGGCTCACCAGGCCCCCAGCCCTCCCTCTTCCACAGGAGCTGCCCTCGTCCTCAGGGCCTCACATGTAGGAGCCCAGGGACTGCTTCTGCTTCTGGATCCTGAGCACGTCCTGGAGGAGGAGGAGAACACTTCTGTCTGTCTACCCCAGCCCCATGGAGCTCCATCCACAGGTCCTGGTGGGAGAGATGCTCGTGGACATGCAGAGCAGCTGGGAGGACACATTTTTCTGGGAAGCTGCCAGCTTCCTTGGGCTCTTTCCTGAGCATGTGGGGCTATGCATGAAACCCCAACTCCAGTTAAAGATGGGTTAATAAAATGGCCTCTGATGTAATCTGCCTGGTAACAATGGAACAGGATATTAACCGGGGAGGAGAGGATGTTTCTTACTCTCCTCCAGACAAGGGGAGGACCCTTGTGACCCCCAGGACTCTGGGTGGAGGGAGGTAAGACAGCTTTGTTGAGAGAGTATGATTTGTGTCCTCCAGAGTTTGTGGGCACAGGGGCTGGGTCTGACTCTTGCCCCAAAGCTCTAAAGGCCGGAATTGGCTGGAACTGCCTGTCCTGTTGGAACACGGAGAGATGGTGAGATGGGAGACGTCTGCCCTTCCCAATGCCAGCTGAGTTTTTCTGAGTCTTAAGAGGGTGATGGGATTGGACCCATTTGGAAAGGGCCCCATGCAAGATGACTCCCAACAAAAAGAAGTTGTGTGCGTTGTGCCGCTGGATGAGGCAGCCGTGGCGAGGCAGTCACCTGAGAGCACTTCCCTTGCACAAGGACACCATGCAGAGAGGTCCCCAAAGGGGGAAGGCGGGCCTCTCAAAACCCCTACAGAGCCCTACAGCTCAGCAGCTAAAAATCAAATCGCTTGATTTTAAAATGCACCAAGGACTTGAATGTACATTTCTCCAAGGAAGACATGCAAATGGCCAACAGGTATATGAAAAGATGTTTAACAGTACTAATCCTCAGGGAAAGGCAAATCAAAACCATAATGAGATATCATCCCATACCTTTAGAATGGCTACTATCAAAAGCACAAAAGATAACAAGTGTTGGAGAGGACGTGGAGAAATTGGAACCCTTGTACATTGTTGGTGGGAATGTAAAATGGTGCGGTTGCTCTGGAAAACAGTGTGGAAGTTCCTCAAAAAATTAAAAATAGAACTCCCATATGATCTAGCAATCCCACTTGTGGGTATATATCCAAAATAATTGAAATCAAGATCTCAAAGAGATGTCCACAATCCTTTGCTCATGGCAGCATTATTCACAATAGCCAAGATGTAGAAACAGCTTAAATGTCCATCGATGGATGAATGGATAAAGAAAATGTGGTGTGTACACACAGTGGAATATTATTCAGCCTTAAAAAGGAAATCCTGCCATTTGCAACAACAGGAATGAACCTGGAGAACAGTATGCTAAGTGAAATAAGCCAGTCACAGAAGGACAAATACTGCATGATCTCACTCATATGAGAAATCTAAAATAGTCAACTCAAAGAAGCAGAGAGTAGAATGCCAGTTGCCAGGGGCTGGGGGGAGGCAGAAATGGGGAGTTTCTGTTCAATGGATATAAAAGCTTTAGTTATACAAGACGAATAAGTTCTAGAGATCTGCTGTACAACATCGTACTTACAGTTAACAATACTGTAATGTGCATTTAAACATTTGTTAAGGGCAGATCTCATGTTAGTGTTCTTACCACAATCAAAAAAGGAAACCCTACAGAGGGCATCAATGGCGGATCGAAACAAGTGAGAACCTCTATGGTCCTTATCTCCCCTCCTTCCCTAGCCCTCTACCCCATTCCTAGCTGTACTAGAAGCAGCTGAGTGGACGGGACAGGAATGAGACAGGAAGAAGGGAGGAGCCAGCCCATGATATCTTCTTCCCCTAGTGCAGTCTCCAGCCACGGGCAAAGGAACCACTCAGACCAGATGAGATGGAAGATTTTCCTGTCGGACTCCTCCAGACTTTTACTACATGTAAAAACTGTTAAAGCCTGAAAATAACCAGAAACTATATGTGATCTGCTCAGTAATCATGGGCAGAACAAGGAGATCAGATGGTGTTGAGAATAAAACAAAAGCAACGGTGTTTGTGTTTGTGAGCCATCCAGTGAGGCTTGTCCAAGGAGCGGGTTCCAGTGACAGTGGTGCACATCATGGTCATCCCCAGGGCTGCGTCTTTTATTCAGTTCCCACCACGGCCATGTGAGGTGGACAGTTGTTTTACTGTTTCACGTTTGACATAATAAGCCAAGGCTTACGAGACATGCCAAGGTCACACGGCTGGGGGAGCCGACACTTGCTCTCCGGGTCTGGCACCAAATTCCAGCATGAGCCACAAATATATATGAGTGGGGCAAGCCTACGAAGTCATGTGGCAGGTGACCTCCCTTTTCTGACCTCTGGCCTTCTTTCTTTGTCTTCAGTTTCCCAGCATTTGGGGGGATGAAGAAGAGGGTCTCTGGGAAGTGTGCTGAGCTTGTCAGAAGAAAGAGACAGAGGAGTCAGAGGTCTTTTCTGACCTCTTCTGTCTGGTTTGCATCTCTGTCAGGTGACTGTGAATGGTCAGGTTCCCTTGGAGGCACCCTGCGGTGGCCTCAGGGAATTCTGGAGGGAGAGCGGTTACCGTGTGTGTGTCGGCCCCTGTTACAGGAGAGGCATCTTGCAGAATGGAGGCAAGGCCGCTGCTCTTGGGCCTGGTATGCGTAGGTCTTCATCCTTACCCCACACCAGCTAGCTGGGTGCCTGTGGCAAGCCAATTCATCTCCCTCAGTTTCCCCACCCAGCAGAGCTATACATTTTCACATCCGTCCTGTCTACCTCCCAGAAGTGACCGTCTGAGAAAGCCTTTGTGAGCTCTGTGGCAGTCAGGAGCCTTGCACAAACAGATGGCTCAGCATCTGAGACAGACATTGTCCTGGTTTGGCTACCAAACATCCACACACTCTTTTTATTTGGGAGAATCCATGCACTGAGAGAATCTTGGTGAGAGCCAGCAACCTGCCTCCCACCGTGGGAGGCAACGGATGCCAGCCACTTCCCCTCCTGGAATTCACGCCCAATCATACCCACACACACAACCTTGCTAGTCCAGGCCCCTCGGAGGCAGCTACCTGGATGTGTGAATATGGAGGGAGTGATGCAAAGACGCAGAAGCATCAGAAGTTAATCACTGGGGCAGAGACAGCTGAGGAGAGTCCAGG